AAGTGAGTGTGACTTCTAGGAAAGTCTACAGTGAACGGCATGTTGTTGTTCTAGCCTGCTGGGGAACTAACCCTACAGAATACAGAATTATGTTTATCGTTATAAATGTGCATGGGAAGTTCCTAGAAGAGTATTTAGCCTTTGGATGTTCCTCATCTGTGGGGCCACGAGAGACTGAGGCAGGAAAGAGTCAAGGCAAGAAGGGAAATAGATTTGATGTCGTTTCACTTTATGATACTTGCATGAAAAAAATACATGTTTTTCAGACAAATGGAAAAATAGACAACATTTTTTTTAAATACAAGCACTTGATTTTGTAAAAAAATAATCCTGACAGCAGAGGAGGTAACTGACTTTGATTCAAAACTAAAGACTAGGATTATAAAACGATCATGGAAACCTCAACCTACAATAAATGTATTGCATACTACCTTGGGGCAGAGGAAGATATAATCTCTTGGGTTTATACGTCAAATTTGTTAGCATACAGTTACTCTTTTGAGAAGTAACAGAGCAACATAATACATCATTTAGAGTACATTTGGTTGCTTGATAAATGTAAGTCCACAAATTGGCTCTCCTTTTAGCTTTAGTATCAGTGTCCAACTCCTGAGGGAAATATCTGGCTGCTAAATGCTCCAATATTTTCACCAGCTGGTCACTAACATTGTTCATCTGTCGTTTGGTGCAGGGCAGCAATACAGTTATAAGAGCTTTTTATCATCTAATAGCAGCTGCCTGATTAGAGCTGTGGGTGTTAGCCGAAAGAGTGAAAGGGACCAATTCTGGCTTTTGCTAAATCAACTTCATGAACACGGAGGTTGATTAACTGAAGTCTACAAATTGATGACAATTAACTGACCTTAGAAATGTACCCTGAATATTTATGTCATGGCTTTGTTGTACATACCTTATTTGTTGTCCATATAATTAAAGTCTAGCCATTTAAATGTGACATGCTGTATCTTGTTGCTCATATATGTCTTCTTCTGTCTCCTAGGCAATCACATGACATGCAACAGAAGAGCAGAATAGCAGCTTACGGCTTGTCAGACAACATCATTGTATGGGATTGTCATGTGATGAACATACATGAGAAATGAGACCAACTTTTGCCCTTTAAGCAATCCTGCGAATAAATCAGCCTCCAGGGGATGAGGACTTGTCAGAAGACAATCAGCCTTACAAACGTGACACTGTGTGAGTGAATCGGTCCTGTTGAAACCATGCAGTGGAGACGGCGGCACTGCTGTACGCACGTCACTAACTTCCTCTATCTCCTCTCACTGTTGGGTCTACTGGTGTTTCTGGTCCACCTGCCTAAAATCACAGGTATGCAGTGGTGGAAGGGTCACCCTGTGGTGTTCGGGGGTGGTGAACTTCATACCACTAAAGCCAAATGGAACATGAGCGCCCCGCATTCAGCGTGGAGGTTCGTCATTGTTCCTCAGCCAACTTTCAAACCCAATGCCAACATGAGCTCCCGTGAGAAGGATACCGTCTACTCTCCTCAAGGGGACCCAAGTGTTCACAACACTCTGGCAGCCAACACTAGCCAAAGTGTAGAAGAAGATCTTAGTGCCACTATAACCCAAGGACCGTTCACTTATATCCTCAACGAGCCAGACAAATGCGCAGACAGCAGACCCGCACCATTTCTGGTTTTGCTGATAGCCACAGAGGCTCGGCAGGTGGAGGCAAGAAATGCCATACGACAGACATGGGGGAACGAAAGCGTGGCCCCGGATGTGGGTTTCATCCGGCTCTTTCTGCTGGGGAAAAACGACGGAGAGCTGGGACTTTTACAGCAAAAGATGCTGGAGGCAGAAAGCCGGAGGTATCATGATATCATTCAGCAGGACTTTCTGGATTCCTACAAAAACCTGACCTATAAGACATTGATGGGAATGAACTGGGTTGCTATTCACTGCCCAGAAGCCGGATACGTCATGAAGACGGACAGCGACATGTTCGTCAACACGGAGAACCTCGTTTACAAGCTGCTCAGGCCAGAACAGCAGCTACGGAATAACTACTTCACAGGAAATAACATGAGAAACTTTGCACCCAACCGGAACAAAGACAGCAAGTGGTACATGCCCCCTGAGTTGTACCCGGGCGACAAGTATCCCACCTTCTGCTCTGGTACTGGTTATGTCTTTTCCGGAGATTTGGCCATGAAAATCTATCGCGCTTCGCTAAGAATTCGCCACCTGCATCTGGAGGATGTGTATGTCGGAGTATGTCTGGCCAAGCTCCGGATCGAGCCCACTCCTCCGCCCAATGAGTTCCTGTTCAACCACTGGCGTGTTTCTTACTCAAGCTGCAAGTACAGCCATCTTATAACGTCACATGGGTTCCATCCCAATGAACTGCTGAAATACTGGCATCACTTGCAGATCAACAAACACAACGCTTGCATCAACATATCGAGAGCAGGGAGGACACGCTCCAATAGACTGAACAGAGAGAGACCAGCTCAATAACTTAAGAAAATATCATTAAACACTCTTTGTTTGGATACAATGTCATCTCAGCTTATGCTTTTCTTACCTTGAGATCAAGGGATGAATCCACACATGAACCATATGGTGACTCCAAATTCTGCATTCATGTTGTGTAAGAACTCAAATTCTCAACAAAAAAAAATCACCAATTTTGTACTAAAGATGGGAAATGTTTATATGTCAAACTACTGGAGGGTTAATGTACAGCGGTATATTTTACAATGGGATAAGATGTGTCACTGTGGTGCAAAGGCTACTGTTTTTCAATAATATGTGTTTACTAGGGGTGCAACAACTAATCGACTTAATCGATTAAAATCGATGACCAAATTAGTTGCCAACTAATTCAGTCGTCGATTCGTTGGTGTCACGTGTGTTTTACACGCCGTTAAACTCCAACGTTATCAGTCTTTTTATCGGTACTGGAGACATTTAAAAAATACATGTCATATGTATTATTGCTACATAAACATTATCTCGCAGTCTTAGTGTCGCCAACTCATTTCTAATATGCAAAAAGACACCAAAAAATGCGTCTATGGTGTATTTTCGATCTTTCCAATCCAGACGAGATCTCTCTCCCCCGTCTGTGTGCGAGGGGGCGGGGCAGTTTACACACACGCGGCTGCTCCATGCAGCAACACACGGCGGGGATGGCGGAGAGAAGCGCTCCAAGGTGTGGTTAAATGTTACCCGTCTCTAGGTGGACAATGCTCGTCAGGTCTCGACATTATAAATGGCCCGCTGGCCCGGAAGCACTATTTAGACACCCCGGGCCAGCATAACGTACTTTCCACTTGCCCGCTCGGGCCACTAAAAATATTGTTTAAAAAAAAAAATGGTTCCTGTGGTCATGGTATTTTGACTAGCAATTTTGTTAAATTGTTTCGTTTATCAACGCTACAACATAGCGTTTCGTGAGTCGCTTGTCGTTGTTGGGTGAAAAGCAAAGAGCTGTTTGCTGCAGAGCGCAGCGCGAGCAGGCTCCCGTGAGCGGGAGCGCGCTCCTTCACTACAGACTATCGCGCCACCTAACCATTCGCCAAAATGTTTTTAATACCAGCGGTAACCGGCCAAGCACCGGGCAAAAACCATCTTCAAATGAAAGAAAGTCACCGGAGGAGTTAAAGGAGAGTGACAGGGAGCATGAGAAGAAGAGGGAGAGAACGTTTCAGCCAGCTTGATCGATGGAGTTGGCTTCTAGTGGTGCAGTGACGCGTCCAAACAAAACGTGCATTTATCAAACAGGTTTGTTTTCCACAGACCTTATTTCCAGCTATTTTCCAAAACCCTGTGGAGAAATCCCATTGCTTTTTGTGGAGGGAACCAGCAGCTTACTTCCTGGTTTTAGGATGCGTCACTGGCTGCACCTCTCAATATGATGCCAATATAAACAAGGTCTTCTGTCGGCTCTGTACATCAATGCCGAGCTATGCTGACAAGTAAGTGAAGAGTAGACAATATAAAGTTATTGGCTATAGGGAAATGTCCCAGCAGTTTAGGATAATGAAGGTTCTAATCTAATCTATAGCCATTACATTTCTAACTCCTAATGACAGGAAGGCAGAAAGCGCATTATACAAATAATAATACTCATAATAATAGCATTTGTTAACAATGACCACAATATCATTATTTTAATAAACCAAATATGAACAATTGAGGAAAATGAGGAAGAACTGATGATTCAAATGTTGTAGTACAAGTAGTAATGTAGTTAGTGCATAAATTACTATTGCAACAAATGTGTTCATTTTCTTCATTATTAGTGGATTTATTTTTGGACGAATGCTCCGGGCCAGTGGTCACACTGGTGGGGCCAGTGATAATACAAGTCCACCGGCCCGGAGGGCCAGTGGCATTTTACCCTTAATGTCTACCCCTGCTCGTTGCCAATAGTGCAATAAGAGTTTAGCATGTAAGGGCGGTAACACGAGCAATTTGTCTAAACATTTAGCAAAAGTGCACCACATGCAGACGGAGGAATGCACCGGGTTCCACTGTCTTTCTAGTAGCTCTGTAGCCCCATCCACGAGTAACTTTTCCACATCAGCAACACACGGAGTTAACTCAATTATACAACCATGGGTTAATGATTAGAGATAACTGAGTTACTCTTTATTTTGTTAAAGCTTCAGCTAGCGACCAAAACGTAATGCAATAATATGTATTCCTAGAAATAACATTTGAGAAAGTAAATTTGAAGTCATATGTAGCACAAAAGTTCCGCAGACTACTACTCATGTCACAGAGTTACAGTCACCAACTCATTACTTTTTTACCTTTTAAAACATGTTTGTTTAACTTCATTTAGCTACAAAAGACAGATTAAGTGGGTGGGAAGTCCGATGCTGTAAGTCATTACATGGCAGTAATCGAAAATATGATAACACTAGCAGATGCTCTAGCAGATAGCCTTGATTATAAATGGAGTGGCATTCACATGCAGTGTATCTATGGGATGAGTCACTTTACAACACCATCAGCACTTACCGTCACTGACTTCAGGGTCATGCCGTGGTAGGTGCCCATGGTATCAATTTTGAAACCCTCCGTTTCTATAAAAACAACACAGAATATGTAGATTACAGACAGAATAACATGGGACATTTAAAAAAAGAAAGCATAACATACAATGATGACACTGAGGAACCATACATGAGGAACATTTGACAAATATCAGATTAAAATGCAATATAAAACGTGAGGGAAAAATGGAATTTGCAGAAAATAATTTAGTGATTTTCAATATGATAATATTTTATTGTCAAATCAAATATCACATGTAAAAAGCGCCCTCATTTATGTGAAGGACATGAAACGAGAGAAAGTCGACTTCTGTGAACAGGATTGCTGTTACACCTGGTAATCTTTGTTCAATCTTTTTTTTTCATTCCATTTGCGTTGTCATCTGTGTGTAAATTAAGATGGGCAAAGCATGTAGCGAGTACTGCACACACACACATTTGTCGAAGATTAAAATGAGCTACAAAAGCAGAAATCAAACTCACCCTCTTTTCCTTTGAATCGCTCCTGATCGTATCTGTTGTAGGCGGCAGGGACAGGTTGCTTGTTCCTTAGGGACGGGTCCTGAATGTATCAAACACAAATAATGTGTTACTGTATGTGCCTGTCAGTAGGACACTACAGGGTCAAAACCCAAGCAATAATTCATAGACTTGCCACTGCTTTAATAAGTTAAATAACAACCTTTCAGTTCATTTTGAGCTTTGTTAGGAAATAAATGATACCATATTTTCTAAAATAAATAAAGGAATACTTGCTATTGAAATGCATGCCTTATGAGAGAAACGCATCAGAGTACTTTACGTCTCCGTCTACCCCTTTTGGGTCTGAATATCTGCTGTCATTTAACTGGCAGTAAATACAATTTCTGAGGTCGTCCAAGCATTCTTTCCCGCTTAGCGCCAATTCTTTGTTTTGACTGAAAAGGGGGCGGGGCTATACTGTCTTTAAGGAGTGGCTTAGTGCTGCTTTCAGCTATATATGGACACATGTCTGGCCATTTAGGCTTTAAACGCCACTGAGCAACTTTCATAGGAATGAATGGTACCCCGCCTCCAACACTGTATTCAGTTATGTTTTACATCCTTGTATATAGCGCATATTTACTGCACACGGTATGTCCTTCTTACCACTTGAGTAGTGTTTGGTGCGGGCCTCTGCTCGGGGGCGCGCCCTTCTTCTCTGGCTTTCACCGACTGAAGGATGGCGAAGATGTTCTTGGAGAAGTTCTGCAGAGGAACAGGAGAGAGAAGGATGTGCCGAATTCAACCACCTTGCACAAAATAAATGATTTTTTCATAATTTGGTGAACAACAGTAAGTGAGTTACATCAAGGCTTTTGGGACCAGACATAAGGCTTACACATGAAACTGTCCTTCATTAGAACCATTTGCAACATATCTGGATAGAATGATGTGCTTTCAAGTTGTCTATTACAAATAAGGAAAATATTGTGAATACACTGTGATTTAATTATTCAGTCATTAAAAGACCCCTAAATGAATAACCCCAAAACTCTACCAATAAAAGAACCTAATGCAACAAAGATACAATTGTGTAAAATAAATATGAAATTGTATTACAGGGCTCGAGCTTAAGGACAACATTGTCAACATAAACACACACGCACAAAACATTTAGCAACCCTCGAAATACACACACGTAGCTACAGCTGTGCTTCTCGGGTCTAGCTATGTACTGAGTGTGTGTATTTCGCGGGTTGAGTGATGTACATGGCATCCCGTGGAGGAATTCTGAAATGTTTTACCGTTACATCACAAAAACGCACAGCAGAACCAGACCCTGGAGCGCCGGCCTCTTTATTTACTTACTCCTCTTCATCCCCTATGGGTAATAAGGCTGAGATGAGAACCCTCCATCGTATTGAGTTCTTAGCAATATGCTGCCTCTCCCCATGTAGGGATGGGTACCGAGCCCCGGTATTAAACGGGCCCCGGGCCGGAATTAAAGACAGTGGTAACGAAAAGCTCCGACGTTATCGGACTTTTTATCGGTACTGGAGACATTTAAAAAATATATGTCATATGTATTATTGCTACATACACATTATATCGCAGTTTTAGTTTCACCAACTCCGTTTCTAATATGCAATAAGACTACAACATGCGTCTATGATGTGTTTTCGAGCTTTCCAATCCAGACGAGATCTCTCTCTCCCGCCTGTGTGCGAGGGGGCGGGCCGTTTGTAAAGGTCTCCTGACTGTGTTACAGACTGTCATCCTGGTTAGTGGTTACTCTGGGTTCTGTCTTCAGGACAGTGTTGGATTGTTTTGTTAATTGGATGGGACTTGATTGGATTCAATATTAGAGTAACTTTCTCGTTTGTGTGTTTGTTTAAATATATTTGGCCTTTGTTTATGTGATTGAATGATTTACTCAAATAAAAAGGTTGATGAATTATCATCTAATGATTTGTATGATGTTTTATTTATGTTAAAGGTCACTTTGAATGATTTTAACTAATGATAATGTAGAAAAACTAACATTTTAAATTCGGGACGGTCCACATTAATTTCGGGACGGCTTAGATTGTATTTCGGGACGGTTCCGGGAGGATGGGGGAAAAAGTTAGTCGAGAGCCCTGGTATTAAAAGCAAACTGCAAAATGCTCTTCTTAAAATGATGTGGCGCAAGGGATACATTTTAGATTTGGCCATCTGTGTACAGATTAGATATGGAAAATGGTTTAAAGGCTGCCGGAATAATTACTGTAAACATATGGCCACTGGACAATATCATGGATTTGAGATGAGCATGCCAAAGTCCTTCAGTGATAAAAACTCATTATTTCCCAGCTAACACTCGGGGTGAAAAACATTCTGCTGCTGCCATCTAGTGGTTGGGCTTTCTATTTAGCTACACACTCAGGGTGTGGTAACCAGTTGGGCTGTCTTATTCTGACACAAATGTGGCAGAGAGTTCAGCACGTTTGATAAATACGGTCGGGGCATTTTTGGATCAGGTATGCACATTTAAGTGCTACAAAGTCTCTCATACATGCACCGTTTGAAGGCACTGCTAAATGGTCACAATAATGGCAAATTGAATATCTGGTAATGCTTAAAAATATTATATAATCACTAGATATGCAGAGACTGGAAATCTCCAGCCAAGATTTTCTGTTTCTTGTTTTGTTACTTATTACTCATTTCACCTAGGAAACTAATTGTTTTTATAAATAAAAGAAGGTCAAACTTTCTCTCAGTTCTTTTTCACAGTTACTTTGAATGAGCACACATTTCTACATGTTTTGTATACAGCAGCCCCTTTAGCCTGCTATAATTAGCACCTCAATGAGAAGATGTGAAGTACCAAGTGTTTGACTTCTTCGCTGTCCTCAATCTGTAACCCGTCATTTTTTTAAATAGCAAAACAATTATATTTAATCAAATGGTATGTCATAAAATAACAGAGCATGCATGTGTTAGTCTTCAGATATTTTTTTACAGCCAATGTAACCTTTGATAACTGTACTTGGTCACATTGCCGAGTGAAACGGATAAACATCGGTTACTGCCATGAGAGCATGTTACCATATTTAAATGTTACAGCTAACACAGGGTGATTCTGATGTTAGGCCAATGTATCGTTGGATCCCTAAAATGTACATCATTTGTTGATTTCTCTACTTTATATAGCATTCCTATCAATTGTTTTATGGAATATACTTTGTTAATTATTCCAGTGGTTGGGTGAATTGTCACAGTGATTGGATACCAATAGCTGGACTCTGACCTTCCCGGTGCTCTGCAGGATGGTGGTCCTGGTCCTCCACACCCTCTCTCTGCTGACAATGTCTCTGGTCACATCCACTTCTGCGTCCACGAAGCTCCTCTGCTTCAGGGTGATGTCATCGTCCAGATCTGTTTTGATGGTGGAACGTTTCTTGGCCATGATCTTGGCTTTGATGGCGGCGATTTTCTCCACAGACATGGCCTCAGACAGTGATCTGGAAGAAGAGGATGATAGTGAAGATCATTTAAATTAGGGATGCTCCGATCGCCAATTTTGGGGCCGATCGCCAGAATCAGTATCGGCCGATACCGGTCGAGTGGACGGGCGGGGCCTATGGGGGTCTTCCATTTAAAGTGATGTTTAAAACTCAGTTAATGCTCATTCACTGGCGCTTCCACAAACAACAACCAACATAATTATTACATTCAAATGATGTACATTATTCAAGTTTACATTCACTTTGGATAATAACACGGGAGAAATGAGCGCTCTCTTTTCCTCTCTCCCTCTCTCTCTCTCCAGGATCTCATGCAGCTCACTGATCGAGTAATGAGTGACCCGACAGGGAAGAATACATACTAGTTTAGCTTGTTCCAGAGGTAGATACAATAGCTAAGTGTGTTAGGTCTAACTCTTGTGTGTTTCGCTCCGCTCACCGGTCCGTCTCAGCGGGTGGAGCTGCAGGATTTCTGCTTCACACACGTTGCATACCGCAATTTTATTGTCTTTTTCGGACACCTTAAATACTGCCAGACCGGTGAAGCCATTTTGGCGAGCTTGTTTTGCCGCACACAGAGTCATGTATTTTACTTCATGTGATCGGCTCTCACGATCGGCCTTTATAGAGAGCACCGATCGATCGGCAGAGAGTGAATATCGGCCGATATCGATCGGAGCATCCCTAATTTAAATAGATATTTATCTTTATTAGGATCCCAATAGGCACTATCATGAGCTTTAGCTAGTGTTTCTGGCAGAGGTGGGACCAAGTCATTGTTTTGCAAGTCCGAGTCAAGTCTCAAATCAGGATGGGCAAGTTCAAGTCAAGTCCTAAACTTTGACAAAACGAGTCATAAACAAGTCCTTTTGTGCTTTTCACCAAATGTAATAACATCGATCAACAGAATAATACTTAATAATCAAACCGCTCTTTATTAGTCACATTAATAATTTAATAATCCATTTTCTCTCTGCTGGTAAAGTAACGTGTGTTTTTCTAATTTAAGAGGGATCAGTAGGCTACCGTGACGATTTGATTCAGAAGGAGTTTAATGGATAAGATCCCTGATGTTGAGGTAACCAGAATGTTTATTTCCACTGTGTACAACATGTTATAAGGGACCCACAATCTATCTTAATGTAAGGGATAATGTGCAGCCAGGCGTCTCTATGGGGAAAAGAACACCTGAATCTAGATCCCTCTGCAGGTACTTTAACTATATTTTGATGATAATACTTTTCTACTTTTACTTGAGTAACATTTTGAATGCAGGACTTTTTATTGTAACCGAGTATTCCTAGACTCTGGTACTTTTACTCAAGTACAAGATCTGAACTTCTCCCACCTGACAATAAATCCTGAGGTTACCAAAAAAAAAAACCGCTCTGAAGGTTATTTTCATTTTACAAATCCTGCACTCAGATTTGCTTTCTCCAATATCATTGAAATGCAGCAGATGCTGCTTCTTTTTTCGGTCATTTCTTGACTTTTTCCAACGCGCTTGCATTTAAATCCGTCTCCCTGTCCTGTACCACGACACCTGCTGTCTTTGGAGCGTCTGCCCCCCACCCTTCTTTCACATAATGGTATGATCCTAGTGTGTCCTCGCATATGATTGGCCGCATGGTGGCCCAGCTAAATAAAGTCCCGCCCCTGCCTGCAAGGATTCTCAGCAAGAGTAGGAGCGGCTGAAGATTCTGTTCTCCCTGACGGGAGTCTGCTCTTCTAGCGGCAGCTCGCGATCGGCGTGTTGGAGACCTCTGAATTAAATTATCAAGTCACCTCAAGTCAGAAGGCGCAAGTCCCGAGTAATTGGTGTTCAAGTCCAAGTCGCAAGTGTTTTGTGATTTTGTCAAGTCGAGTCCAAAGTCATCAAATTGGTGACTCAAGTCCAAGTCATGTGACTCGAGTCCACACCTCTGGTTTCTGGGGTCCACACAGACCGTCAGACATATCCACACACTATTCATATTATTATATATTAACAAAACATCTCATGCAACTAACACTCAAGTATGGACGTGTGAACTAAAATGATAGTCCTTCCAACCGTCATGAAGCCAAAAATAAATAAATGAATTTCACAACCACACGTTTCAATTATAACTTGTGAAATTAAGATATTGTTTTAATAAAAGATCACTGCTTCATGTCGTAAAACATGACAATCAGTAGGACTGCACGATATGAGGAATATATAAACGATAACGCTGTTTAATATCCCTGCTGTAACGATAGTAAACAGATATTAAACTGTACACAGGTCTGCCATTCTACTGTATTTCGTTTTTGTTTTAACATTACATTTAACTGAAGCCTTTACCCAAAGCGACTTACATACACTTTAATATATATTAGACGTGCCTACAGGAACAATTTAGGGATAAGTATTTTAACCAGGGAGACACTTTACAGGGCTGGGATTGACCAACTGACCCTGTGATTGGTAGTCACCATTAAGCCTCAGATGCCAAATGTCTTATTTCCAACATTATTTCACTGAACCAAACACGAAACAAAGAATCATACATTTAAAAGTGTAGCTTTCTATAGGTTGACTTTGCAACCATGATTAAATAATAAATAAAACATTGTGCAGCCCAAAATCCACCAACTACATTCAAATTGAGCTGTTAGTACTGACAATGTGCCAAGTTTAACAAAAACACAAAACACTTCAAATACAAATTCATTGCTTTGTATTTTTTTATAGTTAAAAATATCTATCACATTTCTGTTTTGTAAAGAGTAATTTGATCATCATTTAGTGTCGTTAAGTTGTAGATGCTTTTGTTCTGAAGGCCTAGGTATTCATTGGTAGACAGGTGGAGGAGTAGTTTGCTCCTGGCAAAAGGCAAGAGAAAACGTTAAAGCCAATGCTCCTGTTTTGGTTGAAACCTAAGAAAATAAACGGAACAAACTAAATGTGTGCCTGGCCAATGGACTTTATTCGGCATTTGGTTTGATTTGGTTTTTGTTGTGAGGAGATATATCCGCTACAATACCTGATCTGGTCAGTCTGCACGATGCCCTCTTTGTGGCCCTCCAGACGGGCGGCCAGGCGCTCCTTATCCAGACGCACTCGCTCTTCATCCTGAAGAGAAAGCATTGTACACACTGTTAGCAAACTAAAGAATAAAACAGGATGAATAATGTTATATCTATGGTTTACCAGGAACCAATTTATTTTGCAACTTCAACAAGAATGCATTTTATTCACTACAAAACATAAAAACACTGACCAATTTATTTTGGCTTAATGTATAATGACTGAACTAAATATTTAATAAGCAAAATCATCTGATGCTAAATATTTTGAGTCATGTTCATTAATTCTCTTAAATCCTAAATGTAACCGACATTTTAGATAAAATAGTCATGTTCTTTTATATGGTTGCAAACATTTTGGTCTCATTTAAGGACAAAAGCTCCCTGACATTTATTTCGATTCAGGAACTTATAGATTTGTTCTGATACCAATAAACAATTACATTGTTACCCCCTTTAGAATTACATTATTTATGTACTGCAACCACTCGAGGAATAGCTCCATCATTTGAGTACGCAAAGCCAATGTTAGTGGAGGATATTTCATGTCAGCTTACCTCAATCCTTGGTTTTTTGGTTTCCGAAGATACCTCATCAGCTGCTCGTTTGACTGAAAAAAAAGTAGAACAGTTGTATTATTTCGCTGCAGTCAATTCAGTTACCAACTTGTAACGGACTGAGACACTACCTCATATATGTGACCTGCTCTATCGAAATCAGTCACATTGACCCGAAGACACCTTTTGAGTTGTATACACTGCTGGAAAGAGGAGATTCCTAGCTTTCTAATGATATCAGGATTGTTGTTGTACTCCAAATATTAAGCGAAATATGTCACATTATATAATGACTGTCACCGAGTCATCATTTTGAGAAAAAGGCCTTTAAAGTTTCCTCTTCTCTGGAATCCATCGATCTGATTGGTTATTAGCAAATGATCAAAATACTCCGGAGGGAAGATATTTTCGTTTGTATTACTGGTCTGGGGGAAGCTCGCGAGTGCGTGTGTGTGTGTGTATGATTGTGTGTGTGTGTATTGTGTTTGTTTCCCAGGGAAAACCCTCACGAGAAACACCGGCTGTTGTTATGCCTGCTGTGACGTTAAGTTACTCCGTTCTCCGCTTGTAATTATGCCGTCACAAGCTTCAAAGTTGTATTTATCATCTGAATTTGCCTGAAATAAGTTTAATATTCTGAAGACTTTGTTTATTTGAAATCAGATGAAAACAAACTGTAACGGACCCTGCCGTGTTATCTATGATTACTATACGCCTTACATTCATAATGTCAGCGGAGGGAGGGGGGGCGGCGCTGCGGAACAGCAGAGTGGTGAGTGAGAGCTGTCATCTTCCCTTTACAAGCTTCAAAAATGTATTTATCGTGTGATTTTGGAAATAACAGTTTCATATTCTGAAAGCCAAGACTTTGTTTAAAATCAAACAAAACACCCACGTTTATTTTGAAATGAGCCGTTGTGACTTCCGACTGATTTCGATAGAGTTCATAGTTCACATATAAGGTATATGGACACTACCCCAATAGAAAATATCTCATATCCCAGTGAATCAATACCACATTTGAGTACGTAGTGTGTGAACTCACCTTGCGTAGGCCTTTGCAAACCTATTTCTATAGGCGCACTTCTGTCAATACTTGTCGATGTAGCTGTGAAAACACAAAATCAGAAACTGCGTTAATAGGTTACCAATCGGACCAAGTATAGCTACGCCCCTCTTCTTAGGGTTTTATCAATGAGAACTGTCATTTACTTATAATGCTTAATACAATTTAAACCAGGAAAGAGTTTATATATACGAGAGAAAAAATGTACATCCTGTACGATTGAGAAAATCAATGTACAATCAACATGATTTCACAAATGTTACTTACAACTCTCTCCATTGAGATATGACAGCAAGCCTTTTCGATCAGGTCGTCTGACAACAGGGATGTTCTCGGTCTATAAACGACAAGCAATGACACACAAATACTCTATGAATAATAATATGATGCATATAAGGTAACAAATGAAACAGAATTAGAGGATCGACCTGACACTGACAGGTACTTTGACAGTTATTCTAGATCACTTACTGCAGCTCTTCGGACATAGGAGGGATGCGGGAGATGCACATTGTTGAGCAAAAACAAGATAGAGTCCAAAGTATAGTACTCTTTGGGCTGGCCCTCTTTACCAGTACTGCAGGTAGAAAAACAAGCGAAGAGAAACATTACTGAGAGTTCATTGGAGAGGCATAGCATAATACTGAAATGTACAGTGCAGGTTTAAGCTAATATCTGACACTACATTTACAGAACTATCAACAGTTATCCGGTTAGCTAATCTACTAAGCCTTCAGCAAACTAATTATCCGCCTTATATTGAGCCTTTCTACAAGATAAACAAATCTGCTTATGACTGTGGCTAATAAACACATGAAGTTTCCACTTCATCCACTGTACCCCTGACTCCATGGGAACACAACTCAACGCTAGCTAACGTCGCTAACTAGTTAGCATCACATTACAGATGCAAGTTTAGCTGTAGCAATGTCATAAAAACATTTAAAAATAGAAATAAAAATGCATAAGGATTCGGATAATGGCTTCATAGTGTATGAACAGTATTTTAGTGTTAAGCTAAAGTTAAAAAAGACTGCTTAAAGTTTTAAGTTACAGCGAGGAGAGGAGTTAGGTTAGCATATTAGCATGTAGCTAATGAGCCTCTCCGCCGTTAGTGGCAGCACAAGGCACCGATGAGCTCCAGCTGCGGGCCCACAGAAGCGATTTAAAGAGGTTTTAGCAGTGACATACCCCCAGATTATGTAGTTGGTCTTGACATTTTTCGGCCAGGAGAACTCCCCGAAAATAACTTCATCTCCTTTAGCGACGATTACTTTTTTCTGGATGTTATACTGACGGAGAACACTCAACACATCCGCCATCTTCACTTGTCTTGATGTAGTGTGTTTGCCAGGACCCCGGTTATCAACATCATGTGGCCTCGCAGGATGCCTGAACCAAACTTTTTAGACATAAACGTCCATTAAAAACATCTTCGTCACGTTTGCCAGATTTAATTAAACATCCAATATAGATAAAGGTAATTCCCACAATACGGTTTAGAGTCCAAGGACACTCCTTCCATAGTATGTAGGCTACACTTGGTAGGCTATATTTAGTCAAGTATTGTACAAGTACAATTTGGTGGTACTCATTTTATGCTACGTTTTACTTTTATTTCATTACATTTTGAAAGTCAATATAGTACCTTTAAAACAAAATGTATCTGAGAGCTTTAGTCATAGTTACTTTACAGATGAACATTATTAATACAATAATATAAAACAACTAATAAATGAACATTGACAAATAATTAAAGGTTATTAAAGATAACTAGCAGCAGTATACAAAGTAATTAAATGTATCTTCATCATCACCAGCTGTGAAACAAATGAATGCATCAATGATCATTTCCCCAGAATTCTATGTTATTTTGAAATGGGCCATTACGCTTAACAAGTAGGCTACTTTTACTTTTGTTATTTTCCTTAGCATGTTGAGTGCCCTAAAACAGCACTAATCCCAAAGATATTGACCTGAACAATTCCAATGTATCTATTTGTATTATGATTGCTTACGAGTCATTTGACACATTTCTGAGTGGCAATTGACAAGTTTAGTTAATGCTGCCAACAAAAAAAGTTTTTTTTAGGTCAAACATAAAATAGGCGGTGCTTTGACCTAGATAAAGGACATTTAGCAGGTGCTGCAAGAATGATATAACACAGTTTAATCTGTTCTTGAGTAAAATGTTCAACAAAAGTACATTCAATTCATTTTACTCTGGGAAGGTAGCAGTTATCTGTTTGTTTTTGCATAGCAAAGATTCTGACGTAAAATACAGACATACTACTGGGTTAGCAGTAACAGGGTAAACATAAGTTAAATGACAATGATTTGTCTTTTCTGTATTCTGTAAAAACTTAGATTGTGATTATTATGATGATGCGCATTATTTCAGGCAAAAATAGGCGAAATTGTCTATTTTTCCAACTACAGTAAACTGATTTATAGTCCAAAACATTGGCGTTAGTGTTTCACAAAGGAACAATTCCCAAATAATCCTCCAAAAATGTGTCATCACATTGAAAAGCACCAAGGCTATTCTTTTATAGGATACATTCAACAAGAGCAGAATGGACAAATCAAATAAGAAATAAAAAAATAATTTAAGAGAACATTTTTTAATACATCTAAAGATTGTACTTAATGTAAAGTAAAAAGTTGTGTCAATATAGTTCTAGACATTGGTGTTTTTAAAAAAAAAGATCTGACCGACTAATCAAAGAATTGGAGAGGTCAACGGAATTCATTGCAGTTCTTTGACTTCTGGTGTTTTGTAATTTTACAGAACACCATAGTACTAGAAACATCAGTCTAGATACTAAACTAGTTTTATTAAGCTTCAAACATTCAGACTCTTACATTGTCCCTCTAATTCAATTAGCCAAATCTTGCAATAAACGATCAGAATTTCTTGTTTAGTGGGTTAGTGTCCCACCAATAACCATCAAAGCACTTGAAGGAGAAGAGTAACACTTTTGAAGTGGCTGTCCGATCAGTGATCATCATAAAAAAGTGAAGTCCATTGAATCTAGAATTCCTCAGTGTGTACTATTTTAACTGGGAAAGCTGAGTTATATATAAACATCCTGGCTGGTACATATAGGTACTGCTGGGACAGAGATTTGTCGACTGATATAGCAACTATGGAGTGTTTTGCTTTAATGGACTACATTTACCATCAACACGGATTGGACATCCACATAAAAAGGTGCCAAATGATTCCTTTAACATATAGAGTGCAGTTTGCACTTAAATCGTTACAGCACAATATGCAACAACATATCCTATCACTTTGTTTTCAAATTTTAGAAAATATATGCACATAATATTTGCAGAGTGTTGTCCAGCCCGCTCAAATGACTCTTAAGCGGCATAATACAAATAGATACATTGGAATTGTTCAGGTCAATATCTTTTGGATTAGTGCTGTTTTAGGGCACTCAACATGCTAAGTGAGCTAACTAGTGCCTTCTTTTAGTGCTCTTATGACTGTTGCATTGCTTTTATTAGATCAGGTCATGGGCTAGGTTACGAATAACGCTGAAAGCTCTGAGGTCGAAGCCACAGATGCTCACTAAACCTCTGTCCTCTGTGTCTGCGATGGCGTGTCCGATGGAGGTCAGCCCACACATCACCAGCTTGGAATTGGCTCCTGATTGCTGTTGAGAAAATACATAAAATATAAGAGTTTTTTAGTCATCCTTTTTGCAACAAGCATGGCTATGTTTTCCCTTATTTTAAAGCCAATATAGGCTGAAAATGTAAAATCTATATGTTATAAAATCAATATCTATAAAGGGGGCTGCAGTAGCTGTCATACAGTTAAAGGGGCCCCATCATGCTCATTTTCGCTTCAGCACCTCTTTTCACCGTCTGCACGTGTAGACTCCGCGGTCTTAAAATCCCCACAATGACTACACGCACGGACCAATTTCCCCAAATCTGTGGCGGAAAATGTAAGGCGGGGCCTCTCATATGACGCACACCTGCACACTTGCTAGCCTGATCCACTCTTTGTTTTTCGAATGCCAGGAAGGATTCTTGCCTCGCTTCTGAAGCAAGTGACTCGGAAGACATGTGCTACCAAGCAAGCATACTCGCGATTGAGAAACACCCAATGTGTGTTGGAGCGCTATCCAATAGAAGCGCAAGTGTTACATTATGAGATGTCACTATGTTACGGAAGTAAACAAAGTAGTCCAAATGAGGTGTTTCAGGCAGGGTTGAGTGACATAAACTGTTCAATGTCAAGTTATTCTGGAAATTGATAGCAAAATAAACCTGATCCCATCAGCCTGATTGAGTCTGGGCCCCTCAATATGAAGTGAATATGAATATAAATTGTCCTGCTGTTATTGTAGTTTTATAAAACAATTTTTATCAAAGAGGAATTTATTCAATTAAATGCTAGCTTGCCCCCAAGTATAAATGAGTAAATGTACGTGTCTGTGCTTCTTCAGAGATGGCACTGGGCTGGCAGTGAACGTCCACACAGGGTTGTTGGTCAGGATGATGAACACGTCTGCACCTTTCCTGCTCTCTGTGGCCCAGGAGATGGGCAGGGTGCAGTCCGTGCTCCCCCCTGGGATCTGCAACACACAGAGAGGCAGAAAGGTCAGAAACAGACCACAATAACAAGGAATGTTCAGTGTAGTCAATAATAAAACTATTCTTGTGTCCTACTAGTGACTGAAAGATCATTTGTGACAGAATGCAGCTGGTAATTACAGATGGTTATAAAATGCCGTTATTCCTCAATTATACTGAACAGCGTTTCTGAAAAAATTGGTTCTGGTCAACGTGTTTCGGGAATAATTCAATGTCGCATACAAATGGGAGAGATTCTGGTCAACTATTATCTGTTTTTATTATTAAGTGTTAGAAAAATATCACTCGTCACCGGGCTGAGCTTCAATATCAGGATACATGTATTTATTATCCTTGCAAGAATGAAAGTAGTCATCACATACATTTGGTACAACTAGTTCCTGAACAGTGTCTATCACATGCTTATAGGGTGTTACAGTCACAAGATGCAGAATACCGGTTCAAAGCAGTATATAATGTTTAGTTTTAGATTGGCTAAGACCAACGTCAGAAATGATCATGCTTGTCACATGTCTATCTCCATAGAGGCTGAATCATCATGTTATCATAGCTATCATATGCCTAAAACAGTCCTGATGCTCTTCTAGGTAATCATACATCCTGTCATGTTCACAGCTACAGTTGGGCCTTTGTTATCACGTGTACGTGATATTGAAAGAGTTCATTCAGCATTTTCCCAACATTAAGCTTAAAAGCTCATTTTAGTAAGGCTATATGAAGAATGACATCATGAAGATGTATATTTAATTGAAAAGTAGGCTATTTCAAATGGTCCCCTCATCAGACTTGTGCATAGTGCAAATAAAAAAAAAAAAATTATGCAAAGATTTGACTGTAATCATTTGCCAGACTTCAGCAGATTTTCCCAGTCGGTAAATCCGGTAAATACCGCCTAAATGAAATACTGGTTTAGAGGACCTGTTCTCATGTCTTTTCTTTGATGCTGTGCCCTACCTTAACCAGTTCAAATGTTGCTTGTGCGAGAGTCATATCAGCAGAGATGGAGCAGGGAACAGGAACGCCTTCAGAGTAGGCCAGCACATGTGTGTCTGCCTCTGTCCTCGCAAAAACCTGAGCCACAAACATCAGAAGGAAAAGCATGACGTCACTACTGCAGATACAACAAACATCATTGTGATGGCATGTCTTTCAGCTAATAACTCCCAGAGGGACCAAGATAGACATGACATAGACATAGACATACTTTATTGTCATTTCAACAAGACACAAAGTGTACTATTAAAACGAAATTTCGTTGTACTGGCTTACAGGAACAGGACAATATAAAAACTTGCTAAAATGGTACATATAAATAAATAATAGTGACGTGGTGCTGATAAAATTAAAGATAAAGCGTGCGTTTAAAATATAAAGACTTACTATACATATAAATAAAATAGACATACTATATAAAAAATATGTGCTATTTACACAGCGTAATGTAATCTTTATGTTATAAGATAATTGACAATTGAAGGAATCTATAGTCTGTGTTAAATATAGACTATATATAAATGGGGTGGACATTTTTATTTTTTAAAAGCCATTATAGATAACTGATATTCAGCTGCTTATCATGGCCGATACAGAGACAACATTTTTGTATTTTTATTGTTTATTACTATCTCTGACCTAACCAAATCTAACTGGCATCACTATTACTATCACTTTATCTTGACCAAAGTCATTGCGATTCACCTCATTATCAAGGCGATCATTTACAAACTTGCTTAAATATGGTACAAAAACATACTTGATCCCTTAGTTTTAATGCATAAAAAAGGGTGAATAACTGTGGCAGATGCATGGCAACAGTGTGTGAGTCTGTTCTTTCTTACATGATCTTTCCTGTATCTATTTTTTACTTAAGCTTAATTCTTCAAGCTATATAGCTTTTTTTTATTCACGATTATTCTGATAAGGATTTAACAGGATAAATCAGATCAGTGATCTGCCTTAAAATCCAAAATGATCTCATCCCTAGTGTAGATGTAGCACTTGTTAAGCTAACAAAAGCAATTTGGCCTCATATTATAGGCCGATAATTTAACAGCTAAACTTATTATCGGAATAATCTATAATTTTCTTCATTTCCCATTATCGGCCAATCATTTATTGGTCCCAGTATGTACAGTATATTGCATCCATTTTGGACAACGACTACTATCTTAGTCTTGTATAGTGTTACCATGGCAATAGCTGCTGCGGTGACAGCAGTGCTGATAGACGTCCCCGGGACAACGCTGCTCAGGGATGTGCTCAGGTCTACGGCCACAACGAAGCGTTTAGACACAGGCTCCACATTCTGGGGACAAGATCACAACAGCACGAGTGGTTAAGAGTAAGTGTATGCATTTGGTTAAAGGGTTGTTCTGTGAGAATATTTGAAAATAAAAAAGGACCTACCATAAAACTCTTGTAAAAGGCAGAGTCCATAGCTTTGAGGATGCTGCTGTCTGGTTCCCATTTGGTTTTAACCTGATAGCCTTGGTCTCTTTTGTAGTTTTCAGAAGACAAGAGTATGTGGAAAGGGTGGATCTTTGCCTGGTGATTCCAAAACAGGCATTGTTATTTAAATAAATATAAAAAACATAACTTTGAATCAATTTGCACTACCTTCGTTAGTGCGGTCTGACTCTGGAATCTGTCACATAGAGCTTGGGTGTCGGAACTTCCTGGTTCGAGAACTTTGTTTGAAGTCATCTTACCCAAAATCTTCAGCACTGATTGGAGAGGCATATCCTTCAACAACGCTCTCCATACCTTTCAGAAGAAAAAATACATATCCCCTTGATGTGATGTAGAAACAATCTTTACAAAATGTCAATTGACCTGACAATGAAATTATGCTTTCAAACTATTTCTAATTACTCGGAGTCAGAGCATCCCAATTTACAGCATGAACCCAACAGTCCCACTGCAGAGCTCCATGCTCAGGCCCACCTCTTGTGCTAGGACACATCTCCCATGACCCTTGGTGAAAAATCCTCCGGTTATCACATGTTTTGAGGTTGAACAAAACACGTTTATCGTGTGTCCTTTAAAATAAATATAGTTTCTTATGCCAGCGGATACAAGCGGCCGAGATGGGTTTTCTCCGCAGGGTGGCTGGTGTCTCCCTTAGGGATAAGGTGAGGAGTTCGGTCATCAGGGAGGGACTCGGAGTTGAGCCGCTCCTCCTTCGCGTCGAAAGGAGCCAGTTGAGGTGGTTCGGGCACCTAGTTAGGATGCCACCTGGGCGCCTCCCTAGGGAGGTGTTCCAGGCACGTCCAGCTGGGAAGAGACCAAGGGGTAGACCTAGGACCAGGTGGAGGGATTATATCTCTTCGCTGGCCTGGGAGCGCCTTGGGATCCCCCAGTCAGAGCTGGTTGATGTCGCCAGGGAAAAGAAAGTTTGGGGCTCTCTGCTGGAACTGCTACCCCCGCGACCCGACCACGGATAAGCGGGAGAAGATGGATGGATGGATGGATGCCAGTGTATTATATTGTGCAACTTATTGTTTTATTTGTTAATGAATTAAGTAGCCTACTTAGCGTTTATTTATTACATGATTGTATTACGTTCATTTTTAAATACATTTAACGAATAAAGTTGCAGCTTTAAGCAACAAATAACTTTGAGATAAACTGAGGTCTGCTGACAGACTCCTTCTGGTAGTCCCAAAATCAAGGTTAAAGCAGCGAGGAGACAGAGCCTTTGCTGTTGCAGCTCCACAATTATGGATCAAATTGCCCCTCCAGGTTAGACTTGCTCCAACTCTGCCTGTTTTTAAATCTCGTTTAAAAACCCATTTATTTCCCCTGGCATTTACAGACCAGTTGTGTGCTGTTAAATTTGGGTTTTTATCTTACTAGTGTTTTGTATTGTTTTTACGTCATGTAGGAGAGTCATTCAGTCTGTGGCGTCTGATCTGGTTTCATTGTCTCGTGTTTTACATTTGTTTCATGTCCTGTCTGTTTTTTATGTATTTTATGTTTTATACAGTTGTTGATGTACAGCACTTTGTTCAACTCTGTTGTTTTTAAATGTGCTATAGAAATAAATTGGATTGGATCAACCATAGCAAGTAATGCTAATGTTGTTGGCAAACAAACATTTACAATAGCTGGAATTATTAAAACAATCCCTTGACATCTTTTTAACTGTTGCTGTGCTAACTCAAAACGTTAATGTAACGTTTTGCTGCTTAAAATTACATTAGCTAACTTAATAGCTTACAGTTTTAGTCAAATATGAAGTTCATATTTTTGTTATTTCTTATTTTGTGTCGGTGTAATTGGTGGCTGCAGGTGGCTTAATAATTCTATGGTATCCTGATTTTTGTCCCTGGCTGCCCTAAAGAAGTTGAGATGTCACTTCTTCTCCGAGTTCAGGACCAAAAACAGTCAGATGGAGGAGAAGGTAGGCCTAAGCCTGGAGCTCCACAGCTAGACCCTTCTCCATGTCCCCCCCCCTCCAGTTTGTGTTTTTCTATTAAATTAATGATCTCTGCTTCATCACAACTGTGCTTGACCTTCTCTACCATTTCCAGGTAGGAAAGCACCGTGCCAACCTCTTCTGATTTCTCTTTGTCAGAGTAAGCCAGCTGCACTTCTTTCCATCCTTTTGTTACATATTTGCTGATCAAGGCAATAGCTGAACAACACAAAAGGTAGGACCATTACAGCTGAGTGGAAAGGGTTACAAATGTACAGGGTCAGGTCAGATATAACACAAGTATTACAACAAAACAGCAACTGCGTAATAAAAGAGATGGTTCATATCATGTTGGGTTTAAACAGTTGTTAACAGGGACTATGTTACACTCTTTCTTTTTCGGTCCATTATGACTTTAAAGGTATCCTCTCTTCATTACATGACATGTTACTTGTTAGACACTTTTATCCAAAGCGTCTAACATACTCAACACTGTGGGCAATCCCCACAGGAGCAATTTGGGGTGAAGTATCTCAGGGACACAACGACATGCTGACTGCAGTGGGGTTTGAACCTGTGCTCCCCTGATCCCAACACCAACGCACTAGCCCACTGTGCCACACACCTCCATCAGGTGATATCAGTCGTATGACGACAGTTTTATATATACATATTAAACTAACACATGTTTATTAGTACTTCACTCAGCTTTCTTAATTGGCAGTTAACTGTGCAGTGCTGATTCAGAAACTAAAAGCGTCAGCGACTAAAAAAATCCAAAAATGATGAGTGAAAAAGTATCAGTCATACGAAAAAAGACATTTGAAACGCTCAGTAGCAAATTTTCTTTGACATTTTACAAACAAAAAATTACCTAAAAAACTACAAATTGTCTTGTTTTTTTATTGAACACATTTGTCATTTACTAGATTTTTCTCTCTTTGTTGGTTCAACCCAGCATAAATGAACCCCTTTAAGTTATTTTAATATGTGTATATACTGTGACTACTAGTGAATATCAAGAAGGGATTGTTTTCTATCTTGTTTTTCTATTTGCAATACTGGGCGAAAAACTAAAATACAACATGTTAATATATTTGGCATTGTGTGGTTGTTCTTTATAATTGTGATCCAAACATTTTATTTGATGAAAACAAACAAACTAAATGTACAGATGAAAACTGGATTTGCCTTGTGACTTATTTATAGATATTGCAATAGGAGCTGGATGATTATTTGCTGTGGTCACGTGGTTCTGTTTAAACTCAGCTGGTTTAGTGTGTGAGAGCCTGAGCAGGTCCTGGTGTGTCCATCCCTCTCTCTGTGTTTACATTTGGTCACAGCTGCTGCCAGACTCATGGCATCTTGCTCATTGTACCAGTCAGACACTGCTTTCCTCAGGGCGCGTCCCCAAATACCACACTTCATACCCTCTCTCAATTCCTTCTTCTGCTGGATGAAAGAAAACAGGTGTGCGGGGTCCCGACAGCCCTCCTTCAGGGCTTTGAAAGCCACCTGCCTGGTCTTCAGCTCTGATTGCTGGGAGCACAAAGCCAGGGCGAACAAGGACGGGTCGAGTGTGACGGCTCGCCCCTGCTGAGAGAACCTTTTGATCTCCTCCACCACCTCAGCGCCTCGGCCCTCCTGCAGCATGGAGACCAGGGCTCCGGCGTGTTCCATGCTGACGCGCCCCTCCTCTGGCAGTGTATACGTCTCCCTCCGAGCCATAGCACAGGAAGCGGCACAGTTTGGCCTTATCGCTCACCTCCCATTGACAGACACCGCCTGTTCAGTTCAGGGGGTGGTTGCTCGATGAAGATATCGTACTTCCCGATGGCTCCATTAAAACACTAGAGAAGGCCTGAAACAGAAGGGGATGAAGGGAATTGTATTCACACTTATGGCGCGTTTCCACTGCAGCGGGTAGCTCGCTTTAAGCGTGCCGAGCCGTGCGGGGCCCCTTTTTGGTTGCGTTTCCACTTGGCCTAGTACCTTCTAGCGGGTCCTAATTCACAGTTTTTCTGGCCCCATAACATCGTGGTTCTAGGGCCAGGAACAACCAGGCCACGGTGGCTGGCTGATACATTTTCCTTAACCATAAAAATAATCAGTTAACTTGTGCCGACTAGAGTTCAGCTTATTCGAGTTATTTCTACCTTTGTCTGATGTTTTTTGATGACATTTTTGATGGTATTTGAAATAAAATCGCATAAAACAATGGTTAATAATAAATATACTTATGATCTGTGTTTAAAAAAAATGAAATGAAAATATGTTTCCAACCTTTATGACCTAAATCTCTTAAAATATTGAAATTTTGAGTGTAAGTTTTCCAAGTCACCACTGGGTGGCAGTAGGACATCAACGAGACATTTTTAAGACACCAATGAAGACTCACATCCATATCTCAGTTTATACATTTGTTTTAATGAAATAACAAAAAAATAAAGTCTGTAATATTTCAATGTGTCATACAAATTGGCAAAACCATTCACATTTCCATAAACAGTGTCTAACCAGCACCATTTCAAAATACACAACCGTCCTGCAGTCATGTGCATTGTATTTGTTTAGCACCATATGGAGAGGTGCAGTTATGGTGTATTTGTGTAGGCTGTCCCTGAAGTTAGCATTAAAAGGGCTCCCCTCTGCAAAAAAGTCAATGATATTTCTCCATTGGATTTTGGAATATCCATAAAATAAAATCTGTGGCAAACACATGTTATGATAGGCAATTTACACGTTTTGTTCAGCAGGATTATCTCCACATAGATTACCTTTCAACATCACCACTTTGATGATTGTTGAAAGGTAACGTAATCGCCACAAATGAAAAGCTAACATACAAACTACATCATGGTCGAATGGCTGCACTTCAAAACCGCTAAGCTAAAGTGAGCTAATATTAGTAGTGATGACCTTTAGTAGGTTACTTTAGCCAGCACTTGTTGGCATCCACCATTTTGTATGATACATGAAAGCTTTAGGCATTCACCTGTGTGGAATTAACAGACTGTATTTTATGTTATTGAACAAAACGTAAAGGTCTGTTTTTTTAGATGAGGGACCTCGCAAGGGTAAATTGTTAACTCATTTCCCGGTTTTCAGGACTAATTCCTGCACCTGTTAAGGTTTACCTTTAAGAAGCCCTATACACTTTACTTTAGCCTTTGGTTTTGTGCACCAGGTGGCACCTGCAATGCATTGTCCATTGCACAGACACAGCTCTCCAATTGTAAGGTGACATTATGAGGAAGGGAGAAGTGTCTGCACAGTATCACTGAACACAGTTCCTGAGCCTGTGTCTGACTCTTTGAACATGCATGAAGTCAGTCCTTTTGCAGGAGATAGAGCTCACACTGCATGTTGATGGCTTTAGAATCAGGCTGCATCAGATCTCTGCTTCTCCTTATCTCCAAGGCCTCTCTGCTTAGAAGCCGCATCAAACAGGACTTTGTATTGTTCCGATTCAATAAAGCGGGGGAAGGAGTCATTCTCTATCAGGCTGTAGATTTTCCTCTGCGCCACAACAAAACATGACAGAGATGCTTGCCGGACACTCTGCCTGATGATCTCTCTTGTGTAGAAGTCTAAGTTCACCTGCAAACAAATGTAACATAAACACAACTTGAATAACTGAAACATGCTGATTCAATGTAAAATGTTGCAATCAACAGCTGCACCTGCATAACTATTGTTGGAAAGGAACTATTTAAAATCTTGGTTACTGTGGTTGATGTACAGTAAATGATACAAGTCAGAGTTTTTTTTAGGACTTTCAATACTTGATTATTTTTCTAGTAAATGCCACTTCTCGTCATTTGTGCAATAAATACATTTACTATTAATGTGAAAACTAATGATGTATGTATAGTTTGTATTTTGTTGGTCGAACGCACTTATTGTAAGTCGCTTTGGATAAAAGCGTCAGCTAAATGCAATGTAATGTAATGTAATGTCATATCTCTTGTCCCATGCTTAGTTTAGATGTTGGGCCAGTAATCATCTATATGTTGGGAGGGTTAACCCTAACCCTAACGGATGATGCTGGTCTCCGGTCGGGCTCGGCCGGTCGACGGGTTCCTTCAGACCACACCCCAAAACAGGGAGGGTTCGTGATGAAAGGGACTAAGAGGGTCACTTAGTCACTAACCCACTCTGATCCCTCCCGTGGCCCGTCTCCTGGGCTCCCGTTGCCCGGCCAGCCGTCTCCGGGTCTCAGCTCACTTCTAGAACTTGGTTCTGGCTCCAGCTGCTCCTCCCACTGGGAACCAGAATTCCTTTATTCTCCTGACTTTTTAGATCACATTCCCCCAGGATCCCCTCAGCCTATAACCAGTCATAAACATACACATTTTCCAGAATTGGTCAAAACACTTTTTTTTAAAAACTCACATTTGCCCATATGTCGAATAACACACACACACCCATCCACTAGATCAGGGGTGCCCAACCTTTTTTGAACCGAGAGCTACTTTTAAAGTTGCCAGTCTGCCGAGATCTACCAGTCCAAATAGAGAGGCGTAGCCATTACTGACAGCCTACTACCAGGTAAATACACACTTCTACTTGTATAAAACTGACCTTTGTACGATTAATACTTCATAAAATACTGCAGATACTTTATTTTACCCCTTTCTAATCTACACACATACAAGTATTTAACTGAAGTTACACAACAGTGTTGTTGATACAGAGTTGGAGTTTATTCAGACGTCACATACTACAGTGGGTAATGTTTTCAAGAAACATTGAGCAGTGCTGCCACATATGACACGAAAGAAAAGACTCTGAACCCTTTCTTTGCCATTATATAAAAATAGTGTTGGTACAAAAGTATAAATTAGGCTTAGTAATAAGACAACTCAGATCTGAAGCTACACAGGAATCTGCTTCCAAAGTGCAATAAAAAAGACAAAATTAATAGAATCAAACCCTTTTTTTTTTGCATTTTAGTAGAGTATAACAATAAATGCCTTTAAAATAGGATGCAAGCAACACTAGTTTCTTAACCTGAACTGATAATAGACTATAATCAATTTAAGTTTGCATTCTTATTAGGGATGCACCGAATATTCGGCCACCGAAAATTATCGGCCGAAAATGGTTAAAAAGGCCCTTTCGGCTTTCGGCCGAAAGGGCCTACACATTATACATTTTTTACCAATGTATATATATATATATTTCTATTAATCATTTTCGGGCATTCGGTTTTCGGCCAACTGTTTCCTATTTTCGGTATCGGTTTCGGCCAAGAATTTCCCATTCGGTGCACCCCTAATTCTTATACCATTTTGTACAATAATTATAATGAATAGGTTCAAACAAACAAAAACTTACAGCTGATTAATTACGGTATCTAACTTGAGTTTTTATTATATCAAAAACCTGTTGAAATGCTTCTGTTATTTTTACTGTCCCCCAAAGCGCGTCGGCAGCCTCCAGGAATGCTTCTTTCACAACTTCGCCGTCTTTGAAAGACTTCATGTGTTTCGCAAGAACGTGACTGACACGATAAGATGCTCTGGTAGCAGCCTTGCTCTTGTTGTTGGGCCTGGTGAAAATGGACTGCTGTGCATTTAGCTGTCCTTTCAGGCCCCTCCCCTTTTGGGAGCGTCGGGCAGAATTAGGAGGGAATTCCGTCTCGTAGCGTTTGTGCACTGTTTTGAAATGCCGCTCCTAAATGACCCTTCTTCGATAAAGCCACGCTCGCATTGCAGATGAGACAGATGGACTTTGAATTGGAATAGATACAAAAATAATCATCCTCCCACTCCGAGTGAAAATTATATATTTTGGGCTTTTTTGCTTCTGCCATAATTGCGGTCTTGTGTGTGTGCGGACTGTCACTCCTGTTGACACCATGGATGTATAATAAGAACTGGATACAGCGTGGGAGGCGGGCCTCATTCATTCCTATGAGAGTTGCTCATTAGCGCATGATGATAAAATGGCCCAATTTTTGAGAGAGCGAAACGTCACAGATTACCCGGCATGCCTGAGAAGTACCCGTATGCGCTCATAGCGCATGCGCAACTTTAACCAAAATGCTCGTTCACATCAAGCACGTCAATTTGCGTACACGTAACAGCACCGCACGTTCATGACAGCATGCTGTTACGTGTATAACAAATCATTACCATGGTAATGATTTGTTATTATGATGGTTTTGATATTAACGAGTCATTATGCTAATGTAAACATCAATCGTTATGTACTTATATTACGCTGTAACAGGATCTAGTGATATCCAAGCAACAGAGCTTAATTTAGCATGAAAGAATGATTGCACTGTATATATATATATATATATATATATATATTAGGGCTGTCAAACGATTAAAATGTTTAATCAGATTAATCACAGCTTAAAAATGAATTAATCATGATTAATCACCATTCGAACTATGTCCAAAATATGCCATTTATTTATGTATATTGTTGTGGGAATGGAAAGATAAATGAAAGAAGGCGGATATATCCATTTAACATACAGTATCTATGTTTATTATAAATATTTTCTGCGTGTCAAAATGAAAGACAACCCACCCACCTATCAATCATCAAACCGTGGGGTCTTAATTCATTCATTCAGGAAAGTCGACAGAGGGGGGGGGGGGGGGGGGGCGGCGGCTAGTGGAGTACTTCGTGACCACAGAGTGTGAACGTTGTGATCAGCTGTTTTAGCGCAGTTCTCCAGTGAAGGGGGGGGGGGGGGGGGGGGGAGTCTCCCTCCGCAGCCGGTTGGCGTAGTTTTGGCACAATTCCGTTGTACAGACCGACGTTAACAGCAGCCCTGTCTGTGCACACGGAGACCGACTCTGTCGTCCGGTGATCTAACCGCCTTCTGGAAAAGCTTCACAAGTACGTCGGTACGCAAATGCGCTTTGTGACACAAGTGACGGTACGCATTTCAGATTACGCACATAACCTGCGTACCAGTTATGTATACCCCTGTACTCAGGGCCGGCCCTTCCCACTGGCGAACTAGGCGGTCGCCTAGGGCGCCAGATCTGGAGGGGCGCTGCGCTGGGAGAAAAAATAATAATAATAAAAAAGTTTTTTTATTTAAAAAAAAAAAAAAGTTTTATTCCTGCCTAATTTTATGCCCTTGATGTAATACGTTTACATTAATAATTGAATAAAGTAAACACCTTTTGCACCCCGGGCCGGTGGCAACATTTAGCATTTGCCCTGTACGATGGGCGCTGTAACTGTAAGTGATGAAAGGGGGGGATGGTCGCTTATCTGGCACCCACGGGCCGCGACTCACAGCCAAAGTGACGCGGCAGCTCCAGCTGAAAGTGTCAGAGATTGCAACGATGCAACAGCAAAAGGCAAACAATTAGCATAATGAAAAGGTCCAAGCCTTCAAGGGCAACGGGAAGGAAACGGAAAAAAGAA